CAGCATGTAATATTTTAGTTAATGGCCATGTGGATGGACCCATATGGGGACTGGTGACACATCCTTCCCGGGATTTTTTCCTTTCTGCTGCAGAAGATGGGACAGTGAGACTCTGGGATATTGCTGATAAAGTAGGTACAGTTTTCTTTCTTAAAGTTACAATTTCTAAGGACAGTGGAAGTCCTAAATTGCTAGCACTTAACTATTTGAGAATTATATTGAGAATTTTGAAAAGAAATTGGTTTACTTTAAGTACTCTATTTAATATAGTTCTCGACTCTTGGTTCTTATGCAGAAGATGTTAAACAAAGTGAATTTGGGACATGCTGCTCGTACCGTGTGTTACAGCCCTGAAGGGGATATGGTGGCTATTGGAATGAAAAATGGAGAATTTATTATTTTACTGGTGAGCTCTCTAAAAATATGGGGAAAGAAGAGAGATAGACGATGTGCAATCCATGATATCAGGTTAGTCAACAAATGGAATAGAATTTTTGGTATATATATTCTTAAATGACCTGGGTTACATTTGAAAACAGGTTCTTAGTGCCTGTAGCATTTAATCACATCATAAATTGTATGCTGAAATGTAGCTGTTTGTATACTTACTGCTTGCTAAATTATCAATCCACTGGCACCAACCACAGTGCCTTATAACAGCATGTACTCAGGGAATGTTTGAGGAGTAAGTATCACACTGGATGTGTCCAGCAAGTTGATCCATCCAAGAATTATGTTCCACTGTACAGAAGAGAGCCATCTGTCCTTCAGAGTTGTCAGCCTAGAGAACTAAAGCTATAACCCCACCTCTTAATTGAATATATAATCAATTAATCAGTACTCATCAGGGCACCTGGGTGGCTCAGTCGGTTGAGTACCTGACTTTGGCTCAGGTCCTGATCTCAGGATTCTGTCCCTGCTCAGCCGGAGTCTCCTCCTCCCTCTTCCTCTGCCCCTTCCCCAACTCTCTCTCAAGTAAATATTTTTTAAAAAATTAATATTCATCAAACATCTATGCCCCAGAATCTGAATTAAACTTTAAACTTCTCTTGAACTTTTATATTTCCAGTGCGTAAGCTTATTTTGACAGTGGCTACCATTTACTGAGTACTTCTGTGTGATCAAGATTAAGATTTTTGAATCCATTTCTGTCAAAAGCTTGCATTCTTTTCATTAGTAAAACCCTTTTACACATGAAACCTTCCTCAGAATTTCAATATATAAACTTCCCGCAGGCCCCCGTTTCCCTAAAGAACCTCACCTGAATTGTCCCATACGATTTCCCATGACCTCTAGGCACGTATTTGTATGTTAAGATACTTCTAAACTTCAGGTGGTGTCACTTCATCTGATAACCTGAGGCAAATTAATCTGGGCTGTGTTTTTTGCTGTGAAGATACCATGTTTCCAGATGAAAGAATCCTATCTTGGTAGATTTGGTGTACTATGTAACTTAAGAGTTATGTATTTGTTAGTGGCTTTTTCAAAACTTAAGATCTTTTTAAAGGAATCAGATGAAAATTCAGGAGCCACTTAAAACTGAAGTGAAATACAAGCTTTTTGTTTCATGTAACACAAATATAATCTCAGTATACACGATCAGTTAGTTGTGTCTATCGGGTAAATCTACTTGAGGCCCGATCACACACATACTTATTTTTGAGAGGTACAAAGCAAGTCACTGGTCTTAAATGTTTACATTTCATGTGGTCTAACGTGTCTTTCACGTCTTTTATTACCTCTCCAGATTTAGTCCAGATTCCCGGTTTCTGGCTGTGGGTTCTAGTGAGAACTCCGTGGATTTTTACGACCTAACATTGGGCCCCACCCTTAACAGAATCAGCTACTGCAGAGACATTCCCAGCTTTGTCATTCAAATGGACTTCTCTGCAGATAGCAGGTATCTCCAGGTATGGTACCAATACTATAAAACCCAGTTTACACTAGCTGTTCTAACACTGTTAGTGGATGCATTTAAAACTGAGTTTTAGGGGCGCCTGGGTGGCTCAGTCATTAAGCGTCTGCCTTCGGCTCAGGTCATGATCCTGGGGTCCCGGGATCAAGCCCCGCATCGGGCTCCCTGCTCAGTGGGAAGCCTGCTTCTCCCTCTCCCACTCCCCCTGCTTGTGTTCCCTCTCTCGCTTTGTCTCTGTCATATAAATAAATAATCTTTAAAAAACAAAACAAAACCCGAGTTTTAGGGGAGCCTGGCTGGCTCAGTCAGCAGAGCATACGACTCTTGATCTCGGAGTTGTGAGTCCGAGCCACACGTTGGGCGGTAACTTTCTGAAAAAAACTCCTGAGTTCCAGAGCTTCTGAACTCTTGACTTTATTCTTCACTGTTTCTGCATTAATATCCTATTCTTATTAGTCCTCCTCTCCATTTTTTCTAACAGACTTCTGTAGTCATTGTTAGAAATGTAAATCAGATAGCACCCTTTGCTAGTATCCTATAGCCTTCTGATGTGTCTCTCGCCTAATGGAATTCTTGTCCCATTTTAATACCATGCAAGGTCTCCACTGGTTGCTATAAACGACATGTCTATGAAGTGCCTTCAGGAAAACCTGTTACGGATCAGGCCGCCATGGACAGGATCACTTGGGCTACATGGACTAGGTAAGAACTGACTGAAGGTCAGCCGGGAAAACTGGAAAACCCTATTGCTCAACAGTTAGAGCCGTTCCACTAGGGAACAGTAGTTGAGTTTTATGTTTGTTACCGTATCTTGAATTCTTCCAAAGAGGCCGATGATACAGTCTCATGCTGGAACTCCTCTTCACTGAACATATTCCCAAATGCTTTATCAAGGTTAAAAGCCTTTAAAGATGCCCTGATATTTTCCTTAACACATCAGGTTTAATAACAAGCAATAAAGCCACATACTGGGTACTGTTAAGCAATTGTGTTATTTATCTAAAGGAACGGTATCTTGCAGTTATTAGAAATGGAACCTTATAAATTTGCTATTTCAACAGGTAACCATGAGTAGTCATCTTTTTAATCTATCAAATTCCTAAAGCATAAGCATCTTTTAATTTTAGAGTAACATAATTAAGTAGATTAATTACCAAAAAACTTTTAGCGTGGTACATGTTTGCTATGGATTTTCTTCTATTCCTTCCCTCTAGTATTCTAGGGGATGAAGTTACGGGAATCTGGTCCCGACACACTGAGAAAGCCAATGTCAACTGTGCCTGCGTATCTCATTCAGGAATCAGCCTTGTAACAGGAGATGACTTTGGCATGGTTAAGTTATTTGACTTCCCGTGTCCTGAAAAATTTGTAAGTTTGTGTTTGGTTTTGCTTTTTATGTAATTTTACTAGCAGTTCAGACATCTGATCATTACTACTTCTTCCCCCATAATTTAATAGCTAAATATGTTACCGTCTCCTGATTTGGAAACACTTTTTATGTTCCTAAAATTTTTTCAAAACTTACTAAATCCCTTGCTCTGAAGTAAAAGCTTTTAGAAATCATCTCCCCATGCCCCCAGGTAACACCATCTTTGCAAACTATCCTAATAACGCTGTGATTAGCCTTTTTATCAAGCCTTTACTCAGTTACGAAGTTTCAAATGCTTTTCCTCAGAGGAAAATGTTCAGAGTCCTGCCCCAAGAACCTGGTTTGTGTTAGGTGCAGATCCATTAGCTAACATTAGTAACATTGGCTGTGGTCCAAACTGCCTACCTCTCTTCACAGCCCCTGTGATGGAGATCTAGGGTTCCTGACAGGAACCTCTGATTTTTGTGTGCCTCACACAACATCCTGAGCTTTGTTTTTCATGGTTTTTCAGGCAAAGCACAAAAGGTTCTTGGGTCATTCACCTCATGTGACAAATATTCGATTTACCAGCGGTGATCGACACGTCGTTAGTGCCGGAGGTGATGACTGCAGGTGGGTAACTTTCTCAGCCCAAGAAGAGCAGCTTCTCTCTTGCTAGTTCCTAAGAGACCTGGTATCACTGTATTAGGTAACAGACTCTGTGAGTCAACCACAGACGAAGGCGGCGTAACCGGCTGGCTCCGTGGCAGGACAGCAGCAGGTGGGGCAGGACGAAAAAAAAGGAGTTAATGAAAAATTTTATACATTTGATTTGAAAGCTCATTAAACTTCTGAAAATCTAGAAAAATAATGAACTCACTGCTTTTTTTGTCTCTGATTGCAGTTTATTTGTCTGGAAATGTGTACATATGCCTCACTGAAAGATATGGATGCTGAGAAGAGACCAGAATTACAGAAGAGGAAAAACTAACAACAACAAAACAAAAACAGAACCAAACCTTGCATGGGCAAGTGGTGCTAACTTAGGATTGTTAACAGGGATAAATGCCCAGAGTCATCCAAACAGAAGACACAGATAAGTTCAAAATATTTGTTGTATGCACTGGATAACTGTCCATAATCCATACACTGCCAGACAATTACTTTAAGAAAGGATTGAATAAATACTCGGTGAAAGCCAGCCCCCCAGTTTGGGGGAGTGTGCAAACTTGGCAGACCTGCTAGGAAGGCTTAGGGGACAGCGCCTCTCAAAAAACAAAACCTTAAAAACCCAAGTTGCTTAATTTTCTTCCTCTCTTTAGCAAAACGGTTTTTCTTTTTTAGAATTTGTATTTTATTTTCAAGGTTCATTATTTAATGACTTATTTTATCCTTGTGTTTACATAAGGAAAGGAAACACACCATCACCTTAGAGGATCACAGTTTTTAAAAGGCAAACATTACTTTCCCTAAGAAAACACACACATGAGCTTTACTGGAGAAGATAATGCTACTTAAGCATCAGTAAACCTCTTTTTATAAAGGACATTTTTTTTCCTGGCAGTTTTACATTCAGGAACAAATCCAAAGTTAGTAATATATGATCACTACGTTTTCATTTTTGAGCTGTCGATCCTTTTCTGTTCGGAAGTCATCTCTATAGCTGAAAAATTAAAACATGATTATAGCCTCATTAATGAAAAAGTAGTATGACAAACAGTCCTTTTCAGGGGTGTACAGGTTAAAGTTCTAGACAGCAGTAGTAGTTAACTGGGAGAGCATACCGAATATTTAAAGATGTAGTATAATAGAAACACTTGTTTAATATGTAGACTGAAGTGTTCAAGGTCACATTTACAAAGTCAAACAATTTAGTAAGCTCTTGAAATAAAATTTTTATAGCTTTTTTCTCTACTGGAAAAATTTATTAGATGTATGCCACCCCATAGGCTGACCTCCAAAAGGAATGAATACAGGTCCACTTGTAAAACTTGTCCATTAAAATTCCTTTTTGGTGGATTAGGGCTTAACTCTTAGATATTTATCCCTATTCACTTTAATGCTGCCAAAGATCAGTACTTGCCGTTCAGGAATTTGTTTAGCCTGTCCGTAGTTTCCTGAAGATGGGAGATTATGTAGATTGCTATTTAAAAATATATTTTTCTAAGTGTGAAAAAGTTTAAGATGCTCTATTGGTCCTATGAATTTTATTTTAATGTGTTAATTATCTTTGTAGCGTAATAGACCCCTTCAGGTTTCTGGAAATCTCAGTCTGGTTTGACCAGACATGAAGATTCCGGATACCTATTTTGTATGCCCAACACCTTGTAAATACTGAAAACAGAACTGTAGGCGGAACTGTATCACAAAAAGCCTAACCAGTGATTGAACATGGTCAGTTTTAAAGCTCTGAACAGTAGCTGTGTCTCAAGGACTGATTAAGGCATTAAGAAGCTTGAAACATAAGATCATATTCACATCAATGGATTCTCCTAAATTAAGCCCAATTTTAGAATATACTAATATTAAATTTCTGTCCATGTATATTATTATAAAGAGCCATTCAATAAATTAAAGAAATTCCCCTGAACCACCCCCCCACTCGCCCCCTCCATCTTTGAGCCTGTTCAAATTTTCCTTCTGAGCCAAAGCTTCCCAGCTTTTGACTAAAGAGAAATTCCATTTCTATTACAGTACATGTAGAAACGCTAATTATAACCTTAGGTAAAAGACTTAGGACAAAAATGCCTCCGCTGCATTTTTGTTCCCCCGAGTGGCCAGCCTGATAAGCCAGCTTTAATGACTGTTGTCAGTTTCATGACTAAAACTCATGTTGATTTTAGTTCTCCCACCACCACCTTGTGTATTCCAGCCATCAACTGAATAACCACACAGGTTATGAAGATTCTGCCCTGTGTTTATTTTTTTAACCCAGAAAATTACTTTTGTGTGCAGTATTTGACTAAGCTCCTCAATTTGTCACCTGACCTTTCTGGCCCCTTCAGTCCCGTTTCCGTACATAAGCGCACGCCCGAGCACACTGCATCTGCCGCCCCCGCCACTAGCCACCTGATTCCCTCCCTTGTTGTGATGCTTTTTGATGGTGGTTCATTTTAAACATTTGTTGGGTAACTTGGTCTAGAGTCAACCTTAGCTTGCCTGTAAAACACAGCAGCTGGAAGGTAACATTAAACCCTTAAAGGGGTTTCCAGGCAGTGTTTTCTTGACTTGTGAAATGCCTGAACCAAACCACTTAGGCCCCGTTTCCCATTTATGTTCTTTGTAGTGGAATTCTGAATGCCATTTATAAATCGTGATACTAAAAGTCTGTTTAGATTTCTAGAAATACAACTTAAGATGCTTTACATCTTTGCAGAAAAAATCTAAGTAGCACTGGAATGAGCAAACGCCTTAAATTCAGGAGTCTTGTCACCCCAGCCTAACTCGGTGAGAGCTCTGTGCCATCCTGGGCACGGTCTTTCCTCTTCCACGGTTTCAAGGTTTTTCTTAGGAATCGGCACAGCAAAGTGCAACTTACAGCTGGTTTAATAACTGGTTAATTCTTTCTTCTCCCAGTGGAAAAGCAATGGCCACAGAACGACTGCTGGTTTTATGCTCTTAAACATGGACTTTTACACATTCTGTTATCCCTCGGGTATATAACTAGTCAATGAACTTTTTTTTTTTTTACAGTTAATTTGGTCCTGAGAATGTGTGAGTCTATTTTTTTAAAAATTGCTGTACATCAAGTCTTTAAGATCAGTGATCCGTTGGTTATTTAATTCTAAAGCATCTGACACTTCTTGCCTTAACTATTTCAAAAACCACACACAGAAGCTTGTGTACGGATTCAGTAGTCCGAGAGGTTAGTCCTGTTTTGCAGTTTACCCATCTGGTTTCTGTAATTAGTCATTTAAAATATACTATTTAAATCTAATTTTTACATTTAAAAAATTTTTTGTGGAGTTATTTCTGAAAATGTTAATGTATGTAGTTATAATCTTGTGAGTTTGAAGTTTGTTTTCTGATACCTTCTGTATATAGTATTGTAAAAAAATTTTTGTATAATTTTGTGATAATGCAGCCCCAAAATATTTATTTAAAAAGTGTATGTTCATAGTAAATGAAAGCATTTTAAGGAACTGTTCATCTTTTTTTGCATTTGCCATTCTGTTTCTACCCGACCCACCCTATCCCAGAAGGTAAGAACCGTTAGTATAACTACAGCAGCACTCAACCCAAGAAGCCAAACTAAATTCATTTAAAAGCAGGACTGAAGGACTATTTTAAGCTGTCTCCACACTTTTGGCCAGTCTTCTGTTTAATCCTTGGGAAAAGTGAACAAAACCCAACTTTCACTGAAGCCCCAGTACTGACACTAACCTGAAACATCAGTGTACAAACACGCCTCAAATGCTTTAATAGAATTTAGCTTTTCCTTAAACGGTCTTTTCATAGTCAAGCAACAAAAAATACCCAATGTTAAAACCACTTAATAAACTTACAAACTTGAAAAATTAGACACTTCAGATAGGCAATAAACTTCGTATTATGAAACCAATATATTCCAAGTTTCAAAGGTTTGACAAGTTCTGCAGAATATTTTTGCCAGTAGATGGAAACTCCACAATCTTCTGCCAAGTAGGACTGTCATTCACTGAGTAAACAAAAAATTTTAATTAACTGCTTTACGTTCATACATACCCAGCTAAGGAGTATTTTCACACGACAAGTATTTGTTCTAGATTTACAATGTAAGTATCAGATTTTTAAATAATTATATAAAAACTACGTAATGATGTGTATTTAAATTTATAAAACTTTCTTCCAATGTTTTACATTACTAATGCCAAGAAAACTGATGTGAGATTTGTAAGCAGTATATAGGCAGAAAGTAAATCTGATCTGGAGATATCTAGGTGAAGAAGCAATCACTGGTAAAACGAAATTTGGAAACGTTTTCCAAGGACCATGTACAACTGAAACAGTAGAGAAAAATCAAAGTGATCATCTCCCCCAAGTCTTTACCTGGTCTGAGGTCGAATCCATTTCAAGGCATGTCGTGGTGGCACAGTAATGGTGGGATGATAAAATGTGCAGTCAGGTCTTGTACACTGAGTGTTAAATCTGCAGTGCTAAACACAAACAACAGTCTCAACATTTGCAAAGCTAATACAAATAAATAGGCAATTTGAGAGAAACATTTAATGGGGCAAGAGATACAATCTAACAATATTTTAATACTGAAACCTTGACAAATGACCCCCCTCCCCACCCCCTGACACAAAATTCCAATCACCCTAACATCCCTTCTCTCCCTCATGCCCCGGACACCCTCATTTATGCCCAACTGCAGTTGGTGGGGAGTGACGGCCAGAGAGATCATTCACTCTGAGCAACTCAACAGGGGGGAGACATCCATCTTTATAGCACACAGAAAATTAAAACCATCTGCACAAGTACAACTGGACTTCATCATCTGTTTCTGACATGAGGTGGGGGTAAAAAACCCCACCCACATGCTTAGGTGCAGAGAGGAATGGAAACTAAGCAAAGGGAAGCTTCACTCTGAGAGCCTAGAACATTAACCTCTGGTTCAGACCAAGAACCACAAGGTCTTAAAGACCAGAACATTAACTCTTAACAAAAACAAATTGTGGGGGGAGGGGGGTAGGGGAAGACCATGGACACACAAGATAATCAATTTGCTAGCGCTCTTCCAGGCCTCAGAATTGAAAAGTTGTCACTAAATCATTTTTTGGAAAAATGAAAATTCTTACTTTTGGATGATAGAAGGGACACTCCATTTTCTTACAAGCAGGGAAATAACGGCACAGCTGACTACTAGAAGGTGAGGCTGGTGTTGCAACTGCTGACAAAAATAAGAGCAAAGATTGAACAAATTCGGCAAAATCATCTGTAATGCAATCTACTGATGTTTTTATGGACCCATTTTAAAAATATGAGACATATATTCATTAGATAAAATATTTTAGAATGATACTGAATAGACACACCTACTCTTTAAAGACTGCTTAGGTTAACTGATTCTGGCATGATAATTTCTAAAACTATTCCTTTTTTCTTTTAAACTCAGTTGATGGGGCGCCTGGGTGGCTCAGTCGTTGGGCGTCTGCCTTCGGCCCAGGTCATGATCCCAAGGTCCTGGGATCGAGCCCCGCATCGGGCTCCCTGCTCCACGGGAAGCCTGCTTCTCCCTCTCCCACTCCCCCTGCTTGTGTTCCCTCTCTAGGCTGTGTCTTTCTCTGTCAAACGAAGAAATTAAATAAATAAAAAAATAAACTCAGTTGATAATCACAAAATGTCATTTTCCATTTTTTACCTACTGTAGTAGTACACAGTGTCACTAACCTGGTTTTGGAGGCAGTACTGGAATTCTTCTACTCATATGAGTGAAGGGACAATCTGGTTTAGTACATTTTGCATCATATTTACAATTTGGATGAACAAACAAACATTTTTCAGCAAATTTACAATTGGGGAAGGCTCTATAAAATAAAAACATTATTCACATTTAATCTTCTCAATGCATTAGGTTTTTTTTTTTGTTTTTTTTTTTGTAGAGAGGCTCATTCTATTCCATCACTACTTTTTTGAGAAACACAGAATAGAAAAAAGGGAAACTCAATTTTTTTCTTAAACTAAGCTTTATGCCCAATGTGGGGCTTGAACTCACAACCCAGAAATCAAGAGTCGCATGTTCTACCAACTGAGCCAGACAGATGCCCCGGGAAACTCAATTTTTAAATGAGGCCAGATCTGGGGCACCTGGGTGGCTCAGGCGGTTAAGCTTCTTCTGCCTTTTGCTCAGGTCATGATCCCAGGGTCCTGGGATCGAGCCCCAAGTCAGGTGGGGAGTCTGCTTCTCCCTCTCCCTCCGCCCTTCCCCGTTTGTGCTCTTTCTCAAATGAATACATTTTTTAAAAAATCTTAAAAAAAAAAAATGAGGCCAGATTTCAAAAAAGGACACAGTAGTCTATTCTGAAGCCTAAGGTAATAAGATTTTCAACTCAAGCCATGACCATGAGAGACAAAAGGATTTTTTGTGTTAAGAATCATACCTTATACCATTTCCTCTGTAAGATCTATGTTTACAGTAATTTATGAACTCAATATATTGAGCATAATATATGTGCAAGGCACCACTCCAAAAAGACTCATTGGTGTGGTCTCCCCCTCCATGTACATCCATATTATTCTCACATCCACATTTCTTAAGTCAAAACATGGAGATTCCACCTCTAGGACCAAAATATGTATTTTTTTTAAATCTAAAAGCCACCTCTCAAAGATCATGCCATTGAACCAGCCAACTGGTGAGGAAAAATTACACCCACGTCCAAAATGTTTTGTCACATTACCTGTCACTGTGTCCCCAATGCCTTAAAAGCTGTGGCTATGTACATGAATACAACGCATTCAAACCAGGGCAGTTATATAACCATCTCCTTCAATGTACAGAAGCCTTCTCCCATCTCCCCACTCCCTCACACACACACACACACACACACACACACACACATATTACACAAGGATGCTATTCTGGGAGGGCAATGGTTAAGTGTCACTGCATTTATACGAGTCAAATTCATCCACAGAAACGAAAAACCGAACCAGCTCTAAGATCTAGAAATTACCCTGCAGATCAGAGTCAGCTTGCTGCTGCTACTCACTTGCAAGGTGAAACAGGATGATGGTACGCACACTCATCCCCGTTTTTACAGGCAGGCCAGTACTTGCAACGCTCCAAAAGTTTTTCTGGTTTCTGGACCACACTCAGTTCACTCATCTCCGCTAAAAAGGGGAAAAAGTTAAAAGTATCTCATTAATTATGATCAACTCAGTATATGGCACCTTTAATACATTTCCCTCAAAACCCAGTCTTAAAATCTTATGTTCTTCCATGTCTATGATCATACAAAATAAAGGAGTCCAATATTCTGGGTAACACAGCTAAGAGCCTGCTAAAAAAGGTCACCAGGAAGCACACTGCAGTTCTCACTGTGAAAAGCAAACCGGAGAGGGATGCTGCAACTAGAGCCAAAGCTCTCACCCCAAAGCCCCTGCTCAATATTATTTCAGAGCTGAATTAAAATATGAGGGGGGGCGGGGAAGGATGTCCAAGTAGGGAGCCAATAAAATGAAATGAAAACTGCAAACACAAGGTGAAAAAGAATATGAACTGGGGTGCCTGGGTGGCTCAGTCAGTTAAGCATCCAACTTTGGCTCAGGTCATGAACTTGGGGTCCTGGGATCAAGCCTAGCAAGGAGTCGACTTGAGGATTCTCTCTCCCTCTCCGTCTGCCCCTTCCTGTCCTCATGCTCTCTCAAATAAATAAATCTTTAAAAAAACAACAACAAAGAATGTGAACAAATTCTCACGTTCAGACATTATGAGTGGTTCATACACAAAAGTGTTCCCACTCACTGAGGTATACACAGTTCTAAGTCCAGGTGATAAACTCACATCAATGTGAGGAAAAGTTTCTTGCTTAAAATGGGTCACAAATGTCATTACCTACAGGAGCCCGCTAGATCACCCAGCAGTGAGCCTGGCTGGATAGAAGATGATCGGTGGCAGACAGCCTTGGTGGGGAGGAAACAAAGGTGGGTAAGAGCAACCACCATCCACAGGGCTCACTGCCTGCCTGCCGCTCCCTCTCGGGGTCGTGTCCAATGACAATGTCAATTACTAGGGCGTGGGAAAGTGGGCCTGTGCTTCCAGATTGTCTCCTGATTCAGAGAAAGCCAAAAACCTTTTTATATGACATACAAAGCTTAAATGCAGGCAACTAATGCCCATTTAAAATGTAAAAAGGCCAAAAATTCACACCCAAAGGCCATAACGACCCAACAACTTCTGGACCAAAACACCCTAGCTTTAAAAAAAAAAGCATCATGGGTGTTACAAATTAGGGTTCACATTCGTAACTATAAAAGCAAACATCATTTCAGCCACATTGCTCTATTCCTCTTGCCTGAGATCAAGCAGTTCAAATCTGGCTCTGTAACTTAGCTGAGCTAGACACTTTGGACAAGTCTTACCTAGTACCTCAACTTCAGTTTCCTTATCTATGCAAAAAGAAAATAATGTCTTCCTTAGAGTTTTATGACTGAATGGAAACAAAAATACAAAGTAGGCGACCAATCAAAACCTAACAGTGCAGCAGCTGGTATTCTGAGAACTTACTGATCTAGTGACTCAACCTCAGTCTTCATTACAGGAGAACAAGGCACACAAATCCAGTCCTGGAGCCTAGACAGGAGTACCATGAAAGGGCTACTGTAACACTATGCTAGGGGCGCCTGGGCGGCTCAGTCGGTTAAGCGTCTGCCTTCGGCTCAGGTCATGATCCCAGGGTCCTGGGATCGAGCCCCATATCAGGTTCCCTGCTTAGTGGGGAGTCTGCTTCTGCTTCTGCCCCTCCCCTCTGCTCATGCTAATAAATAAAATCTTTAAAAAAGCCACAAAAAACCCACAACTATGTCTGATATATAGTTTTCCATGCTACTTTTAAAACCGTAAAAGTCACTGTTTAGCTCCAGGATATAAAGGTATTCTTAGTCTCCAATAAAATCTTGCATGGCTGGAAAGAGCAGTTTTCTCCAATTTTAAGTGTGTCTAATATCCTGGCCTGCAGGAAATGTGTCCTACCCTTCTCCTAAAGAACATACTTTAGACTATGGTATATACATGGGAACCCAGGCCAAATGAAAGAAGTTAACAGAATACCCAAGAACAGGTTGGCTGGAAAATGAAGTAGTTACTCATGGGCAATATTAGTTAAATACAAGGAAACATTATCTTTCTAATGGAAATGTTGGGTCATATATACAAGAGGTCTCAATTCTGGTTTTCCCCAACATTAACCTCATAAGCCATTAAAAATTTTCCTGCTTAAGATTAGGCAAATTCACTTTTTTTTTTAATGTTTTATTTATTTATTCATGAGACTGAGAGAGAGAGAGAGAGAGAGAGAGACGCCTAGCAGGGAGCCCGATGTGGGACTCGATCCCAGGACCCTGGGATCATGACCTGAGCCGAAGGCAGACGCTTAACCATCTGAGCCACCCAGGCGCCCGCAAATTCACTTTTTATTGCAAGTTATAAAACCAAGGGGCGGGGGAGGGCGGGGAGTGCTGTTGACAGCACCCTTGAAACACTGGACAAAAAGCCAGCAAAAGCAATCACCAAGTTTCAAATTCCCTGCTTGGAAGGGAAGAGCAAGAAGGACCAGAGCCTCTCTGTGACTGATATTCAGTCTCTTGGGCCTCACTTATGTTCCAACTATTACAAAGCTTCATCCTCGAGCAGCAGTGAAACAGTGAGAGTCCCAGATCAAAGCAATGGCACAGGAGGCTCGCCGCTCATCCCCCTGGCCTCCAGAAGGGCCACGGCACTTGTGGAACCGAGGCAAGAAGTCTAACGTGTTATTTAGAGGGGCGCTGCTAGGACATATACACCAATAAAGCCTAACATGGACATATCTACATTTAAACAAAATTAGACCCTAACTTTTTCTCTCATTTGAAACAAAATACACAGGTTCAGGAAATCTGTACTGTATCTCTATGGCAGTTCTTAACCACCTTTGTTACCATTTAAAATTTTTTCTTCCTTTTGATACAGTCAGACTTTCAATTCCCTCCACCACTCAAAACTAGGACATTATATCATTGACTGAGGCGAAAAAGCTTTCAATTCAACAGTGGTATCTCCTCACTCACTCATGATCTCCCTCTAAAAGCTATTATATTTTTAGCAACTGAAAAAGGTATTGAATACATCTTCATGTTTCTGCCAAGAGGATTAACTTGGAAAAGTATCGAAACCCATTACTGTTTTTTCTTTGCTTCACTACTATTCATTTTTAAGCTTCAGTAATTGTCTCCCCTCCCAATAAAGGTGTTTCTAAACATCTTACAAGACAGAAGGAACACAACTACCATTCTCTTGTCACAAATGAAAACGTCCAGCAGTCTGTGCACCTGACACTGGGCCCAGGGAGAGAACAGCCAGTGATAACGATTCATCTGCCTAAAAGCAGGCTGTTATCTGAACAGAGTTCATCTCGTGTCTACTAAATACTTTGCTTCAATATTTATTAACTTAAACATAAGGCTTTTGCTAAACTTCCCAGCAGTATCTTGATAAATTAGGTGAGAAACTCCTTTCAAGGGAATTTCACTGAGGTATAAATAGAATCAAAATCCAAATTCATTTTTCTGTCAAGTTAATTGTAAGAGACTATTATGTTACAACAAAGGGACAGTAACAAGTATAGTTTCTAAAGGAAAAAAGGAAACAAGGTAGCAAGAACGAAGGCTGATCCTTTCACAGGCATGGTTAAGATGTACTTTGGCTCTCAGGGCTGAGCGCACGGCAGCCCGGGAGCAGTGCCCACTACGGATGGAACTCATTGTTTTGTCTGAGAGAAGAAAAGAGGCGGCTACTGAATTACGATTAAGAGCAAGGCCTCCAACCAATATTCATTCCAGGTAGAGAGGCCGGTCCCAGGTTTCCTGCACAATGACAGCACCCTGGAAAGGGAAAATCTGAGCTCTCAACACACCATTTGGAAAGCTACCATTTGGGTCATCGAGCTGCCTGCTCATCAACTGCAAGTGCTGTGGGTGGAGGAGACCTCTGAGTCCCTTGTTTGAGGCTGCAGTTTGGTTTACAGGTTTCACTCCTTCAAAGCACATGTCCTCCTCTTGATCTGACATGTATCCTGGGGGGCTGGGGACACCATCCAGCGTCACTATAAACTTGGGACTTGCAGGTTTATCTGGTTGTACAAGATCTCTGCCAGACAGATAGAAAATACCATAGAATTAGGGAAACAAACACAAAACGCTGAGCCTCCTACAGTGCTCTTCAGCAGAACTATCGCTCCCTTACTTGGTGGTGGTCTCTTCAGTAGGAAAAAAACCAAACAAACTCAGGAGGACTTCCAGGTACGGCCCTGGTGGCTTCCGCCACGACACCATGGCCACGGCCAGTTGCTGTGGCGGCATGGCCAGCGACCCTCCAGGCTGCACTAAGGACAATCTCCCCTCCACCCTGAACATCATCGTCCATTTGATCTTCACAGGGTCACATGGAAATAAACTGAAAAATCAGCATCTATGCTCAGAACACGTGGCCAGCAGTTCTATATTTACACTGATTTTATTATCTGTATGTTTGTTACTTTATAGAATCTTTAGTCCATTTTCTAAGGGAGGAATCACCCCAATCTGATCTAACTGCAGAGATCTCCTGATTTTGATCACCTGGCTTTTAAATTTCATTTCCTGGATGCGCTTAAAGGAAAGAATCTTATTTACAGAGCTAAATCATACATGGACTTATTTGTAGGTTAACAGATTTCTGAACAAGAAAGATGAACTGTAATTTCTGAAAACTGACTTTGGCTTACTATTATTCCTGGCCTGCCGGCTGACTCAATAAAAGCACTCTACACTGGGGGCTGGGATGGGGAAGAGGGAAGCTGGGAACTCACATTAACCTGCACTATCTAATCAACACAAAAAAGCTACACAAGAAAAAGAAACCATCTACCGTGTCTGCATAAGGTGTCCTGAAAGTACCCGAAGGGTATCTGCAGTCTTCATCCCCGACTCTTGGTTTGGTGCCACTACTACTTCCTCAGACAGCTTTGGCTTCTTCAGAATAAATGATCTCGTGTCTGCATGGACCATGGATTCCATGTCATAGTAATCTGAGCCAAAGAAATTGGCCATAAATGTTTACTTTTGAATATACCTTGCATTCCCAACATCACACACGTGAGAAGAATGTCAATCTTTTACATATTTGTAATTTTTTCAAAGGAAAATCACAACGGTTCTACCCAGGAATAGCACTGCAATTCTGTGCCAAACACCTTTTCAAGGAAGTATTCCTTTCCTCGTAACAGCCCATGACCTGGGGCTTCTAATCAACACTCCCTGCCTACGGTACAGAAAGGTTCTTATGTGAAGCATCTAGTGGGATATGAACAATACAAACTTACTCTAAGTACAATAATATCTTCTAAAATTATAAAGAAAAATCCTCATATTCCCTCAAACTATGATATGAAGGCTGCTTAAAAATTTTTCTAAAATGTTTTGTTCATTTTGCACAGTACCACTGAGAGAGAACACGCCCTGATGAAAAGAATTCACCTGGCATAATTTCTGCCTGGTTGTACCAAGAAGACTATATTGGAAAGGAATTTTAAGATGAATGGGCATTTAAAAAAAAAATACAGCAAAGGAAACACTGACCATCAGTGCAAATAACCACAGCTCATGCCATCTATAATATGCTTCTTAACCCTGACTACTTCATAAAATATGCCAAGAGCCCAGAGTGGAGATGGTTGACCTACTGCTATGCCATCAACTGACAGAAGTTAATGAGTTGCACTTCTCTTAAGGTTAATAGGCAAATAAGAGACCAATATCTACAGGATGTCCATTCATGTTCATTCAACTGAACAAACCAAAAACCTGAGAACTGAACACTGTACTAGGTACACAAAGAAGAAAAAACAGATGTACACACAATTGCAGAACAGCATACCCTAAAAGCTAATCCTAAAGGAGTAAGAACCAAGTTTTGGTAGAATACAGGAAACCTACTCGAGCTAGGAAATCCAGACAAAGCCTACAGACGATGGACATTTGAAGCAGATGTTAAAGGAAATGAGCAGGCTAACCAGGGTGGGGAGCAAGGAGCTGGACAATAAACAGAGCGTGGCAGGCAGAGGAGACCGCACGGAAGAAGGCAGAGGCTTTCATGAGACACAAGGAATCTAAGACCTGATGAGAAACGTGGTGTGGATGGAGGGCTGTGTGCAGGGAGGGCTGAGTGGCAGGGAAGGCTGACGCATAAAGGATCTTGTATGTGTCAATGAGTTTGGATTCTGATCTAGAAGTCATCAAGAATCAAGAGAGGTTTCTAAGGAGGGAAATGATATGATCAAACTGGTTTTTGGAAGAACAGGTAGTATGGAAGGAAGTCCTAGAGCTCAGTGACTAGGCTGTTGCCCAGGAGACACAGTGAAGCTCCAATTAAAAGATTCTCAATCTTTGTCCTATTTGAGCCCACACATGAAGGAGAGAAGACACACTGCACACACCTCAGCAGCCCTGGCACCTCACAGTAGCTGCATGTTCAACTCCCATCCTGGGAACGAAGCAGAGCTGCCTTCCCCCACGAGGGCCGGAGAGGGTAAAGAGGCAGATGGAGGACAGCGGAAGGAGAAACTGGATCCAGGAGACAGAGGACAGGAGAAAGAGCAGACTGAAAAGGGGGCAGGATAAATTTCAACTTTAGATTTATTTAGTTTGAAGTCTTTGTGGGGCTCTCAGACGTTTAGAAGTTGAAATAAGAGGCGAGAGAAATAAGAGAAGCAGCATTCCAACTGAAGGTCAAAGCAGCGTTGAATCAAAAGCACACACATTCAGCGCTGCCGTCTCTCATGGGGAGCCTGAGCAGGAGACTTCCCTCCTCCATTACAGGAGACCAAGAGGCAACTCGCTGTTCTTCAGTGACTCACTGAGGGCTCCCAGCTAGCAAAGGTAGAGTCTAGAACTTAGTCCAAGGCTGCTGCCCTTTTTCTCACGACCCAGCCCTTTCCGAGGCAAAGCAGTTCTACCAGTTTGCATCTTGGGAGAATATAAAGAGATGAAAATAATGCTAAGGGCAGGACACAGGATAAAATGAACATTTCGAGGGGTAGTACGGGAGGAGAGGAGGTGATAAAGGAGAATGACATGGAATTAGATCGTGAAGTCCTGGAAGCCAAACAAAGACTTAAGAAAACATGGGAACGACGTGTCACATACTACAGAGTTTAGAAAAGTGAGCACTGAACACAGAGCTTTTCATTCCACATAAGCCACTATCACTTCTACAAGGTTCACGGTATCACCTGGGTCAAAGAGGAGCAGACAGATGCGAGAGTTAATGACATCTTCTGGGTACAGACTACCGGCTGAACCCATGCATTTGGTTTCCTCCTAAAACCCCACTAAAATGTCAACAAAGGTTAATTCATTGAAACATAAACTCACAAAGAAAACAACTGTAAAAGGAGACATCCACATTTTGAAAGTGAAAAACTAAGATCTTCAAAAGCTGAGTCTTAAGCCAATAATGAAACAATTCAATGTGGATCCCAAGATTCTCCAAAGGCTGGGTAACTGGCAGCACAGGGGACCTTGGGAAGAGGTGGAAGACAAGGCCAATACAGGTGTGTTCAAGGTCCATTCCAGAAGCAGTTATGTCTTCCTAAACTAGGAATTTGTTTTCTTCATTTCTGATCCCTATCACACCTGTTCCCCTACCTCTATATTCAAGTTTTTTGGAATAGCTGGAGACATGCTTTCCCGATGGTCAATACTGGAGTGGCCTATAAATGAAGCATCACCACTTTGACAGATTAGTGCTGCAAAAAAATAAGCTAAATGTATACTATTAAAATTTTTAAAAGCATTTAGATTTCCTGATAACCCTTGACCATTTTCTCCCTTGGAGAAGAGGGAAGCTTAAGACTCTTGGAAAGGTCAAAACAGAGAGTCTCTGGACCAAGGGATGCCAGCCACATTGAAAGAAGTACCATTCTGAAAACTGGGAGGGGATGTTAAGCAAGCATCACATAGTCATTAAAGTTGAGGTGCCTCCCCCAGCCCCTTTTCCTCACTTAGCTCCCAGAACACTTGACAGCCAATCCACTACTTTGAAAGATCTTTCTTTGGAGAAGCTAACCAGTCCAAGAGGAAAAGCCTAAAGACGGTGACCTCACGGTGCCCCTAAATTAGAGAGACAAATGACTCTCCACTGCAGGATCTATATTCAGATGTAAAGTCACAAGCCCTCCACCCTGACTAATGAACCCAGAATGCCAATCAGCTTTTTGAGTGTCCCACTCATAAATATAAGACAACCAAGGATCCCCAGACATCTGAGGAAAACCTGTCACAAAAGATAGCAATTGAAACAAACAACTTGGAAAAAATAAGACCAAGAAGGGAGGGGAAAAAATACCCAAAACTATCTTTAATATCCTCAGATATTAGATGTAGATATTAGAAATAACAGAGAGTGTTGCATACATGAAACAAAGTCAGTATGTGAAAAATAAATAAAAGGAATATGCAGAAACAAGAGGGCTCTCAGGAATAAAAACCATGACAGGAGGTAAGCAAAGAATGTAGTCAATCATAAGCCTCAGAGAACTAGATGCTTCAAACTGTACGTGCACCATGGGAAAAAAAGAAACATTAAAGGAAACAAAAAAGAATGTGCAAATGCCAACGAAGTGGATACAACATACACAGAGCTTAGCTGCCAGACATTTTGAAAGAAAATACCCTTACGTGGAAAGCAGGATGGAATGTGGAGAGATGACAGGGCAAAATCAAGAATGGAGAGTATCTAAACACTTAGACAAGACAGAAAGGAGAAGCCAGGAGAGAGGCAGAGACTAAAACTACAGGAATGTGGGGGCACTCCAGTGTTCATCAACTGGGGAGGATCTGGCTTCTGGGTGGAAGGCAACCCTGAGAGAGAACAAGTTCCTCTTTCTGAGACAGAGCTGGATGGGGTAAGGGAATATACCTATTGACTGTGGAGGCCTGACCAAAGGGGAAGAAGAGCCAAGGGGAGGGGTCAAGGCAACAGAGATTCCAACAATGGGCAGGTGTAGGGGAAATAGAAGGAAACAGAAAAAAGGAGGTTTCTGAACTGAAGATTGCAGGTGTCGAATGGCTCCCTTCATGTAGGCAGCATTTCCTGGGGACTGTACATGCATGTGGCAGGGGCTGGGCATTGGAGAATGCAGAGATAAACAAGGCACTTGGCCCTGTCCTGAGGTAGCCCCTGGCTTACGTGTCTATGCTGGGGAGGGGTGGGGAAGGGGAACAGGCAAAAAATTAAGCTACGGGGACTCTAAGAACAACAAGTTCTCGGTGTGGCCCTGGTGAGGAGATTCTAAAGAGAAATAAAAGTAAGGATAAGGTTGAACAGGCTACAGGACAGTAAAGCAGCTCAGGACATTGGAAAAGTAGGGTAGAAAGGAGAGCAGGGTAAGGATTTGAGTTGTCCCTAGAGGGGAGTGACAGCCAGAAGATTCCAGGGACTCAGGGGAAAAGGCACCAAAGCAAGAAAGTTTTTGAATGAGATGAAAAATACAAACACCATAAAACATGAAGAAAATGCAGATCTTGTCTCCTGGCCCTAAAATATTTTCACAATCTAAATATAGCATCTTAGGGCAGGATCTAAGATATACAAGATACATTAAATGAGGTGCAAGAAATGGAAATAGCAACTGAAAAATGCTAAATTACAATGAAAATTTAAGATTATTACCAACCTTGACCGATCTGTAGAGTTTCTGCCATTACTGGGTCAATTTGCAGTCGGGATAACAACTGCCTCTGCTGAGTTCCTAGAATAACAAATTTTAAAACTTTACTAAGCTTAAAAAACAAACAATACCAGCATGTATGTTTCCCAGAAATGAAGCCTGAAATAATCTTCCTGGGTTTTTAACTGGAAGTCTTAAAAATAATTGATTAGTGGGGCGCCTGGGTGGCTCAGTTGGTTAAGCGACTGCCTTCGGCTCAGGTCATGATCCCAGGGTCCTGGGATCGAGTCCCACATCAGGTTCCCAGCTCAGCAGGGAGCCTGCTTCTCCCTCTGACCCTCTCCTCTCTCATGCTGTTTCTCTTTCGCTTGCTCTCCAATAAATAAATAAATAAAATCTTTAAAAAAAAAAAAATTGATTAGCTTCAACACTGCAGTTTAATAATACTTATAGACCAAAGGTCTGAAGACAAAAATCTGTACTCCGAGTTAAACCAAAAACGGCATTGTAGGACATTTCCTAGTTCTCCCTTTGTCTGGAAGCCAGTTTTCTTGGACTCGAGGTAAAGCCTGGGAGTAAAGGTAAAGGCTGGAAAAACCAGGAGGAGGTGCTGTGTGGACCCAGAGCTTGAGCCATAACTGACAGGCAACAGCCAAGTGCAAGATCAAAATAAGAAACCTCTCCCTCCATGACCTGGGCTCTCACCATTACAACTCACGCCACACCCCTAGAACTGTAAAACAAAACACAGCAGAGTTATCCGATCAGAGAATTCCCAAAAGACAAACTGTAAGCTTAGACTGATACAAAGAAAACAATGAACAATTATGACATTCAAGAGATCTGGAGTCCAGATCCTACATCAGCATGAAAACAATCCTCTGGGTGGCTCAGTCAGTTAAGCGTCTGCCTTCGGCTCAGGTCATGATCCCAGGGTCCTGGGATCGAGCCCCGCATTGGGCTCCCTGCTCAGAAGGAAGCCTGCTTCTCCCTCTCCCCTGCTGCTCCTTCTGCCTGTGCTCTATCACTCTCTGTCAAATAAATAAATAAAATCTTTTTTTAAACAATTATCTGAATCTCCTATAAGAAAAGATACTCAGCTAGAGTATTTATGATTTCTTTAAAAAGTTCTTAATTTCCTCAGTTACACTGCAAAATAAAACAAAGCAGTGACAAAGAACGGATTTTCTCCATCTTCAATTTGAAGACTGGGAGGATGTCACACTTCTCCAAACCTCCCCCCCTCCACAGTGCTTAGGCGATAGTAAGTACTCACTTGCAGATTTCTTTCTTTTAAGATTTTATTTATTTGAGAGAGAGGGAGAGAGAGAGAGAGAACACAAGCAGGGAGAAGGGGCAAAGGGAGACGAAGGAGACTCCCCGCTGAGCAGGGAACCCGATGTGGGACTGATCCCAGGACCCTGGGATCATGACCTGAGCTGAAGGCAGACGCTTAATCAACGGAGCCACCCAGGCGCCCCTCACTTGCAGATTTAAAACAAGTGTTATCGGGCGCCTGGGTGGCTCCGTTGGTTAAGCGACTGCCTTCGACTCAGGTCATGATCCTGGAGTCCCGGGATCGAGTCCCACATCGGGCTCCCTGCTCAGCGGGGGGTCTGCTTCTCCCTCTGATCCTCTTCCCTCTCATGCTCTCTGTGTCTCATTCTCTCTCTAATAAATAAATAAAATCTTAAAAAAAAAAAGACATTTCATTAAAAAAAAAAAGTGTTATCAAAAACAAAATTAAGTGTTACCAACAATGCATTAAAATAATTATTCACCATAATCAAGTGGCATTTATTCCAAGGATATAATGATGGTTCAATATCCGCAAATCAATCAACATGGCACACCAAATTAACAAAATAAAAAGCGAAGTAAGAATCATGATTCTCTCGATACATGCAGAAAAAGCGTTTGACAAAATTCAACATCCATTTATGATAAAAACTCTCAACAAAGTGGGTTTAGAGGGAACATACCACAACATAATAAAGGCCATATATAACAAACCCACAGCTAACATCATACTCATAACATCATAAAATCAAAACAAGACAAGGACGTTCACTCTCTCCCCTTTATTCAATATAGTACTGGATGTCCTAGCCACAGCAATCAGACAAGAAATAAAAGGCATCCAAATTGGAAGAAAATTAAGAAATAGGAAAAAAAACAAACAAACAGATGACATATTATATACACAAAACCCTAAAAACCCCACCAAAAAACTATTAGAAGAAATGAATTCAGTCAAGTTTCAGGACACATAATTAAGACACAGAAATCTATTACGTTTCTATACACTAATAACAAAGCAGCAGAAAGAGGAATTAAGAAAACAATCCCACTGATAGCTACACCAAAAAGAACAAAATATCTAGAAATACATTTAACCAAGGAGGTGAAAGACCTGTACTGTGAAAACTATCAGATAAAAGAAACTGAAGAGGATACAAATAAATGGAAAGATACAACATGCTCATGGACTGGAAGAAATAATATTGTTAAAATGTGCATATTTACCAATTAACCTATGATTAAAAAGGCAAGAGGGGCGCCTGGCTGGCTAAGTAGGAGGAGCACACAACTCTTGATCTCCAGGTTGTGGATTCAAGCCCCATGTTGGGTGTAAGGTCTACTTAAAAAAATAAAAACTTAAAAAAAAAATGGCAAGGGGCGCTTGGGTGGCTCAGTTGTTAAGCGTCTGCCTTCGGCTCAGGTCATGATCCCAGGGTGCTGGGATCGAGCCCTGCGTCAGGCTCCCTGCTCCTCGGGAAGCCTGCTTCTCCCTCCCCCACCCCCCTGCTTGTGTTCCCTCTCTCGCGGTCTGTCAAAATGAATAAAATCTTAAAGAATACAATGGCAAGAATCTACAGCAGGGGAGAGTCTCTTCAATAAATGGTGCTGAGAATATGGACAGCTACATGAGAGAAAAAATTAAATTGGACCACTTTCTCATACCATATGCAAAAATGAACTCAATTAAATGTAAAGTGTAAGACCTGAAATCATAAAACTCCTCAACAGAAATATAGGCAGTAAATTCTTGGCTATCCCTCTCAGCAACATTTCTTTGGATTTGTCTCTGTAGGCAAGAGCAACAAAAGGAAAGCAAGTGGGTCTACGTCAAACTAAAAAATCTTCTGCACAGTGAAGGAAACCATCAATAAAATAAAAAGGCAACTTAGTGAATGGAGATATTTCCAAATGATATATCCAGTAAGGGATTAATATCCAAAATATAAAAAGAACTCATAAAACACCAAAAACCCCCCAATCTGATTAAAAAATGGGTGGGGGGGGGCGCCTGGGTGGCTCAGCTGGTTAAGTGTCTGACTTTGGCCCAGGACAAGCTCTTCTTCAGGACAAGCGCCTCTTCAGGCTCTGCACTCAGCAGGGAATCTGCTGATTCCTCCCCCTCCTCCACCTTGTGCCAGGCACACACTCTCTCAAAGAGATAAAATCTTTAAAAAAAAAAAAAACAAGGCAGAGGACCTGAATACACATTTTTAAGATTTTATTTATTTGAGAGAGAGAGCGAGCGAGCAAGAGAGAGCACACATGCGCAAGCAGGGGCAATAACAGAGGAGAAGCACTGGAGCAGGGGCAGGAGGAGGAAAGCATCTCAAGCAGACTCCATGCTGAGTACAGAGCCTGACTTGGTGCTTGACCCTAGGACCCTGAGATTGTGACCTGAGCCAAAACCAAGAGTCAGACACTTAACTGAGTCACCCAAGTGCACCACTGACTTTTTTTTAAAGAAGACACTGAGATGGCTAACACATGAAAAAATGTTCAATATTCATCAAAAAATGCAAATTAAAGGTCCTGGGTGGCTCAGTCAATTAAGTAAGTCCTGATAACAAAGCAGCTCAGGTCATGATCTTGGAGTCCTGGGATTGAGCCCTAGATAAGGCTTCCTGCTCAACGGGAAGGCTCCCTTCCCCCTCTAGCTCTCCCCCAACTTGTGCTTGCTCTAATTAAGTACAGAAAATATTTTTCAAAATGCAAATTAAAACCAAAATGAGATATCACTTCACACCTGTCAGAAGGGCTAGTATCCAGGGGCGCCTGGGTGGCTCAGCCGTTAAGCGTCTGCCTTCAGCTCAGGTCATGATCCCAGGGTCCTGGGATCGAGCCCCGCATCGGGCTCCCAGCTCAGCGCGAAGCCTGCTTCTCCCTCTCCCACTCCCCCTGCTTGTGTTCCCTCTCTCACTGTGTCTCTCTCTCTAATAAATAAGTAAAATCTTAAAAAAAAAAAAGAAAAAAAAAAGAAGGGCTAGTATCCAAAAGGCAAAAAATAACAAGTCTTGGCAAGGATGTGGAGAAAACGGAACCCTCATGCACTGTTGGTGGGAATGTAAGTTGGTGCAGCCACTGTGGAAAACAGTAAGGAGGTTCCTAAAAAAATTAAAAATAGAAATACTGGATCCTGTGGTATTCAATAATTCCACTTCTGGGTATTTGCTCCAAGAAAATGAAAATACTAATTTGCAAAGATATATGCACCCTTATGTTTACTATGGTATTATTTACAATAACCAAGATACGGAAGCAATCTCAGTGTGCACTGACAGATGAATGGATAAAGATATGATACACACACATACATATACACACACACAGGAGTATTACTCAGCCATAAAAAAGAATGAATCGTGCCATTTGCAACAACACAGACAGACTTAGAGGCAGGGTACTATGCTACCGTGAAAAAAGAGAAAATCAAATACCCTGTTACTTCCACTTCTATGTTCAATCTAAAAAACAATACAAATGAACAAACACAAGACAGAAACAGACTCATAAATACAGAGAACTAGTGGCTGCAGCAGAGAGAAGCAAATAGGTAAAGAGGATTAAGAGGAACAAACTTCCAGTTATAGTCAGAGATGTAAAGTACAGCATGGGTAATACAGTCAATGATATTTTAATAACTTTGTATGGTGACAAATAGTTAACTATACTTAATTGTGGTAAGAATTTCATAATGTGTATATAAATGTCAAATGTCAAATCACTGCACACCTGAAACTAATATAATGTAGTACTGTCACCTACACTTCAATTAAAAATAA